GGTTAAAATAGCATAAAAGAATATTACATGTTAGTCTGAAGTTGCATCATTGAAACTCATCTAACAAACAGTATTTTGAATAACGAAAAAAAAAAAAACAAATACAGAGTGACTAAAACAACACTGCAGCCGATATTTTTTGGCCGATTCTTGAAGCCAATACTACTTTTTCTTCCTCCCTCCATTAATATGATAAAAATAATAATGATAACAAATGTTACACAAGTCTTAATTTAAAACAAAACAAACTAAAAAAACATTTATTAACTAAGCCTTGTCTGAATAGGCTGTATAAATTGCTGCCACACAGGATTTCTTCTTTCAGCCCTTTCTTAAAAAAATAAAAATAAATAAATTCATTACTTATTTTATCTAGTGCTAAATATTCTGTTTTTATTTGTATATTAATAAGATTAATATATTTCGTTACATAAAATGACTATGTCCCCAGCTTTTTTGATGCAAAAACAGCAATACAGAGAAAAAAAGGAGACACACACATCCATCTTGCTATCCTTATGAGGACTTCACACACGCACAGCACTCACAGCTTCTCTGCCTCATTCTGCTGCTCCCGTTTTTAACACCAGGCAAAAAAAGCATTTAAAACTGCTGACATTAACTTTAGATCACAGTTTGAAATGCTCCAGCATTTTTTAAAAGAAAAACAACACGGACACGCTGATTACAGTGCGGGGAGAAAGTGAAAGTAAAACACGGTGCTGAGCACCCGTTCGGAAAAGAAACTTAAACACAACTGTTCTTTCTCCCCTCATATTCCGACACAGAGGGTAGAAACAGATAAATTAGACAGTTAAAACACATTTACAGTTCTTAACTCACCCTTGTTTTTGTAACATTCATCCTGTGTTGTCCGCAAGCACTTTCCACCCTGTTGTGGGTCCATTTCTTTGAAAAATAAAACTTAACCAGGCACTTTGAAGAAGCTCTGACGCTGGTAGTCTATGTAGATAATAATGTGGGTTTACACACCCCAGAACCGAACATTTTGACTTCTGAACTTGCATGTTCGGCATGACGCTATGAACTACAAAATCACACAGCGAGGAAAAAAATGGCGGACTATGAAATCCAGTTGGCCGGAAATACTTTACCATAAATGGTAGTTCCGAAGAAAAAAGTGTGATGAAATAAACAATGAAACGAAATAAGCAACAGCAGATTTTGAACAAACTGAAAAATTTGTCCCATAAAAATTTTTAAAAATATCTTTGCAGTAATTTGACAGAATAAATTAAAGTTTTCTACACTCCTAGACACTATAATTGCACAAAAAATAGTTTATAAATGCAAAAAAAGTGCATTTAGCATGATATGTCTCCTTTAAGTTATTTTCTTTCTGTTTGTTTACAAGCACATGATACAGCAAATAAATGGTAWTCTCTTATGCTTCAATGAGAAGCATAAATACATGTTAATATTGATTCAGTCCAGTTTTAAGTTCTTGTGTTTCTTGTGTCCTTCATGAAGGGCAGGATGGGTGTGTGTCCCCTGCTCCTGCTGCTTGGTGTCGCCCTCGGGGCCTCAGCCCAAGGTTCATCCACTGCAGGTAAGAGCTCCATCCACCGAAGCAACTTTATATACTGAACGGTTCGTGGTAACATCTCACCAGGTCGTGTTTCCTTTTCTACAAGGTCCTTCAGATGTGTCCACCAGACCTACAAAGCCTCCAGTTGCTCCCCAACTTATACCAACTCCTGCATTAACCCCCAAAGACACTGTCACGGTGCGTGCCCCCACAGTGACACCAGTAATGACAACAGAAGCTACAACAACCACAAGCCCAGGTGGTAAGACCTCTGATTCCAAAAATGCTGGAGGTCCACCAACTACACCTCCTGCTGATGTCCCAGAACCAACAACAATCACCCAAACACCCCCTCCCACCCCGACGATGGGAGAGACCACAACCTTAGCTCCAGTACCTGAATCTCCAGTGACTGACTCTACTACACCTAAGGAGACCACCACAAAACCAGTCACATCAAGCACCCAGCCACCTGGTGAGTGCTCGTTCCAGAGAAACAACCCATAACAAATATAATCATTTCAACCTTTAATCATCATGGTTCACTGCTTTTTTGACATTTACAGAAAAAAAGATTTGTCGAGGTAACACAAAGGACATCAAAGGATTTTACTTCTTATATATTTGTTACTGTTTATGGAAATTTTATTTTTTAATGGTAGAAAGATAATGCAGTTAAGTATCAGAGATTAGTATCTTCATAAAAACATTACTGTTGGGTTGTTTGGATAAATTACAGCAATATTGAAAGCAGCATCACTGACAGTTCCTGCACCACTCCTGCTTGAACTGTGCTTTTTTTATTCATTTGGACCCAGTGCATTAAAATAATTTAAAGCATATCCAAAATGTAATATTCCATTTTTTGTTAGGAACATGGTTGTTATTAAAGCTTGGCTGCCTTTTGGTTTCTTGCTCATGAATTTGGTTGGAAATTTCTGTAAGTTATTAGATATTTTTTTATTATTTTATTTAAAGTTTTCTGCTTGATGTTTGAGGTGCATTTTTGTATAATAATCTACTACTTTGAAAGGTTTTTACTGATGGATGAGGCAAACTTGACACGAAAAATCGTCGTAAAGTTGTTTGTGTTCCTCATATGGCACTAACAACTTAAAAGATCAGAAAAGCTCTCTGGTCAAGAGTCCATCTTTAATATTTTAGTTTGTTGAACATATTTGTGCTTTTAGGCTCCACTGTAGCTGTTCTGGAAATATCTTTTCGTGACACACCTGCATTTGACCTGTCATCCTCAAGAATYGGAACACCATCTTAATGGATGACTCCCCCGCACTGTTAAAAGTGTTATTTACATGTTAAAACTTTCTGTATTATCTTTCTAAAGGAGTGGGTCTAAGCTAAAGTCAGGTTTCAGTTGGCAGGATGAACATTTGTGATAAAGCTAGCATCCCTTAAAGGAATGTGTATCTCAAACCACTTTACATGCCAGTTTTTAACAAAGATTTAATGTGATCTATTATCACTCAGTGTATGTGTTGAGGATGACTGCCTGCTACTACTACGGTAAATTTGAGCTCAAGATCTGTCAAATTGACTGAGTTATCACATTTGTTTGTGTTTGCTAATGTTCAAAAGTTAGCCAGTCATAGATGTGCATTTAATATTATTTTTCTGAGACTTAATTAAATTTCATTGGTTCTTGAGATATTTTGCTAACAAGACACCTGGACTGATCCAATAATTAGCTTTAAAATTGCTTCGGGGCTGAAAACCTGAATAAAGTCACATTCAGTAGCGTTGGGCTTTATTCATCTCCGGCCTGCAGCATCCTTGTGCATGAAACATGACTCTTCCACCTTTTTCTTTCACATCAATTATTCATCACTCAGGAATCTAGAGAAATGTAGAAATCATCAGCGTATGTGCCTGATCGATTTGGTAAAACGATGTCATCGTGGAGTGAAATAGCAGGTATGGTTTGGATGCTTCTGCATACAAAACATTTTTGCTGCGATGACACAGAAATGTGTGTGAAGCTGTTGTTGTTGTCGTTTAAATAAGCATCAGTCATTCTGCATTAACTCTGACTCAAACCCGCGTGGCACCAATATTCTTCCTGTTATAGAAAGTGATGATTTTTATATTTGTAGGTGTTGTGCTCCATTGTCTACCTCCTGGACATCCTTGAGCCCGGAGTAAATGGCATTAGATGCATCAAGGCTGCGTCAGTTCCACATGACACTCACAGCCTTTTGTGCTCATGCTCCCTTCAATGTACCTATTGTCCCATCCAGAATGCTGAAAAGTCTTGGGAAAAGTGTGTGAAAATGCAACACAACTGGGCCCTGTTCCAAAACCCTTCTCCCAGAACATATATAGAGAGCATGCATTCTTCACTGCATTCTTTTGGCAGCATACTTTTATAACGCRGAGAACTCTCTTGAAATGGATTGATGGAACAGCTGATCCTTGTCCGGCTTTTGTCAGCACCACGTGAAGTTTGCTAGAAAAATGGGTTGTTTTGTTGTGCCCCGATGCATCTTACCGAACAAACACAAGCACACAAAGAGCAGGCAGAGGGTTTTTTTTGTTTGTTTTTTTGGTTTGTTTTCTTTTTTAATTTTATTTTTTGTACACCGCAGCCCCCCCTTGTTGTTCAAACAAATGTCTTTTGTTCCAGCTGTGGGGGTGAAGGGTCATCAGGAAGACCACAGAGTTGTCCTTAAAATCATGCACATGGTGGAAATACATACAAATGTGTCAGCCATTCTAACCTGCGTCTGGGTAAAAATTGAAGAGTAGAAAACCTGTCTGTGATGGTGAGCTTAGGTGACTAACAGCAGATACGTTCTTTCAAGCTTGTAGAAAGCCTTAAACTTTTAATAATTTATCTAAAAATTACAGTAAACACTGAATGTTTTTTTGTGTTCCATATTATCTGTGTCTGCCTGCTGAGTCTTAGATAACTGGTTACTGACGAGAAAAATTCACCTTCCTGGTTAAAATTTGATTTCTCTTCTCCCTCTGAGAATAAAAATATGTAACTTTCCATTTGTGTCTGGGTGCAGATTTCCTTTTATTAATTTTAAACCTGTTGACAAATTACCATAGATCCCACTTATGGACCAGAAAGATTAATCTGATCATGAACTTGAATGGAACATTTGGTTGGATTTTAAACACAAGGCAGAAAGTACATAAAGCACAATCCATGCATATATTTTTAAGGGTGAAAAAAATAGTTTTAGCTCAAAATGTTAGAAAATGTGTATTCGGTAGATTATTTCTTGTAGTAACAGTGCTTCTTGGCAAAAAATCTTATAGCATTGGAAAGCCTTAATTTTCCTTTTAAGTGGTGCCACATTTGTAAGGAACATGCTTTTGTGGGATGAGCAGTAGATCTGAGAATGTGGGTTGCACACATGAAAAATTTGCCAAATTTTCTCTGCCAAACAGTTTATTTTGCTGTTATTGACTCATGTTTTGAGCTTCTGGTACCCCCACCAAGTGCTACCAATCAGGCCAGTCATCTTTAGTAACTATTTTATTATAGTAACATCTCAGTTATTGAAACTGCTACTAATAATAAACTTTTTAGAGTTTATTCTACGTTTATACTTTTCTTTTTTTGTCTTCTTGACCTTAAAGTGTTGATAGGTGACAGCAGCATTTTTATTGTTGCCAATTCTGTTGCTGAGCTGACTGACTGCTTCATGTTATTGAACGTGATGCAATAGTTCAGAATTTTTAAACTGAGGTCCTATGGAAGGATTCTGAACAATAAATATCTTACCTGTTGTAGACGGACGGCAGTCAGGAAAAAAAGAGCTCCACTCTGACCAGATTAATGAGCTAACGACTAGTCCAAATGGTAGATTAGACTGAAATGGATTATTATTGATATCTATAATAATGAAAACTTTAGCAGAACATGTATGATTGTCCTTACAGAAATATTAATATATTCCTGCTGGAAGTTTTCCAGGCAGCATCAGAAGGGCTACAACTACAAATCTGGTTATTTTACCCTTAAAAACATTGTTTTAAATGCTTTTTTTACTCTTCTAAATTGATGTCCAAGTTATCTGTTGCACTCTGTTAGATTTCTCGAGTCCCCTCTTGGAACACCTTTTGATGCTTTTCTTTCCTCTCTGTTATTTAGACGATGAAATGCCAATCATAGCTGTGATGGTGGCCCTGTCCTCCCTGCTGGTCATCATCTTCATCATCATCATCCTGTACATGCTCAGGTGGGTAGAACACGTTTTGATGATCTTCACGCCGAGACCTTAAAAGGCCTCAGGTGCTGCTGTTACTGTGGCGATGGCTGATTGGCACGCCACTGCGAGACTAAAGCACTGCGTATTTGGCGTTGCTCTGTGTATCAGCATAAGCTTTTTGATCTTTGGCAGATTTAAGAAGTACAAACAAGCAGGGAGCCATTCCAACTCCTTCAGGTTGACCAACGGCAGATCGGATGATACAGGTGAAACACCCCGAGATGTGCTGAGTTTGTCTTTATGTATGTTTTGTTGGCACTGAATGTTCTTTGTTTTGGGTCAGGTTGACTAATACCAACAGGAAGCTTGATTAAACTCAATTTTTGTTTTTTGTTTTTCTGAAAATTAGTGAACCAACCTCCTTAATTGATAAAATGTCACTGTGAGGCAGGAGAGTTTTGTTTGTTGCCATTACCTAATCATCAGAGCTACAGCTGGTTCTCTAGTGTTGACTCACAGCGCCCTCTCCTGGACATTTTAAGAACTGACGATGTTGAACTTGTGTTCTCCAAGCTATAAGTCCACCTTCATATTCCCACCTCTTTATCTCCACCTGTTTGTCTCTTCCTGTCCCTCTTTTTTTTCCCTCCTCCCTTCCTTGTTCCAGCAGAGCTCCAGAGTGTGCCACTGTTGGCCCGTTCACCCAGCACAAACAGGAAGTACCCACCCATTCCCGTGGACAAGCTCGAGGAAGAAATGAACCGTCGCATGGCTGATGACAACAAGCTCTTCAGAGAGGAGTTTAATGTATGACACCCTCAAACCAACATCTGATGACTCACTGAGGCGTTCTTTGTCAAACAGTTTGTGGGAGGAAACAGAAACCTTCCACAAGTTTAACAAATTGGTGCGAAGTTTTACCTGGTAAAGACTCGTTATGAGCCATTACTCATATAGTGGTTAAAATTATGTTCTATGAACCAATGCTTGACTTTGAAAGTTGTTTTAAGACCTCCTGAGACCTGAGTTTTCTGGATGTTCATTTTTATTTATTTCTCTAAGGTAATGGGATTAGTAGGACCTAATAAGTATAATAACTAGACCTTGTCGTGGTACAGAAAGTGTTTTTTGCAAAAAACATATATATATATATATATATATTATATGATGTCCTCATATGAGGACACTGTGTCTCAAAATGTTACACTTTTTGAGGAATACCTAAGCATTTACCATGCAAAACTCGCCTTTCTGGTGGTTCCTTTTTCTTAGTTATTTTGGCAGTACAGCAGCCAGCTGCTGACCAGCGTAAGATTATTGAAGTGCATCATCGTCATGGACAACTTTCAGATTGCTCTTTGGTTTGAAGAACATACAGGTGCTGGTCATAAAATTAGAATATCATGAAAAAGTAGATTTATTTCAGTAATTCCATTTAAAAAGTGAAACTTGTATATTATATTCATACATTACAT